AGAAATCCGCAGTGGAAGGAGTACACGAGATATATTTTCTTTTAGACTAAACAAATGAACAGTACATACTTCCTTCGACGCATTTAAGCCAATATACACGAGTCAAAAGTAAAATAAATTTAAAAAAATTGTTTACTTGTATATAGGCAAAATGATTATCATTCTGTAAATATTGTTTTAATTTAAACGAGGTATTTGTCCATAAAGCATGTACATTGTGTTCGATGAATTGCTTCTATGCAAATGCGAACCGGAAAGAACCGAAACTGTGTTGAATTAAATCAGGTGGCAAGGAAGGATTAAACAGCTTAAGGAGATTTAAACGTTATTTGTTCAGATACCAGTCCGTCAGACTTGTTAAGGTATGTTTACGTACGTACATTTCAAACGATAATTAATTAATTCGAAGTCCAATTCAAACCCTTTAACATATTTGCGACCACTGGCATGGTTGATTTTCAGTTAGGAAATAACCATGTGTACAATGAAAAAGTGTAATATCTCAATATATCAACATGGAGTTTTTTCTGGACAGTAAATGCGATCGAAACAGGGAATGCATGGATAGGAAAGAAAAGACAAAAAAAAGTGGGTGAACTATGCCGTATTGCGGGTAACCAGGGAACGGACGCTTGACTGTTTACGTGGAAACAGCATTGCATGTAAACGCCAATAACTTGAAACACTATTTATTTACTTCGATGACGAAAGAAATTGAAACAATTACGGGCACATTTATGACCAGAAAATTTCGCGATATACGATTGTTCTATACTTTTCAGTAATATTAATTTAACTAGTTATGGTGGTTTTCTACCTTACATAAAAATTCTAAAATTTAATTAATTTCCTTTGGGGTTTCTATAAATGAAATAATGAAAATAGGGTAAAAATTATTTCATTTACAATTCTTCAAATATTTTCTTGAAGTGCGAATATGGGATTGTTTGTTATGTTCATACCGTGTTACGAAAACAGTACGTGATTCTACTTTCAATATTGTGATGTTTCTTTTCCGACAGTGCCCTATTCACTACCATTATCCAATGTGAGTTGTTCGATTCTTTAAGGGTAAAAAAGCAAGTGTGAAAAAAAGACCAGAGATAAATCTGTACCCTCAGGGCAAAACTGTATTAGTCAAAACACACAATTTATCAGTTAAAATTTAAACTATTGGGATGATGGGTTAGAAATAAATTGTCTTTTCCACAATTGGCATTTATTTCGCCAGATGCGATTCGGACTAATAGAGACGATCTTCGGTGACTTACATACAAAGTGGTAAAAAAAGTTACTGAAGATGGTCTATATTCGACCGAAACCGACTGACGAAATAAATGTGTATTATGGAAAAGGCAATTTATTTCCTACCTACCATCTTATTATGGAGTTTCACAAAATCAATATGGACACCATAAAAAAAATTTGACTATTGGTTCAAAATTTCTTGGATAAGTCAGATAATGGGATTAGTCAGCTTAGGACTAGGCAACAAAAACCAAAATAGATGTCAAACCTAGATAACCTAATTGCACTGACAATTATCTTACCATCAGTTATTCACGTATACCTTCGATTTGGTTGACGGGTAGAATTTGGTAAGTCAAGTTATTTAAAAAAAGACTATACTTTACATATGAGACAACTGCACTAATTCACTTGTTACCAACTAAACAAATGCTAATACAATTATGTAAAAACATATCTTTGCGCACCTAGAAAAATACACTTATTCTGTTTCAGTGCTATTTTAGTCTACAAATAGGCAGTTAGAATGAACGAAATGTCGACGTAACTTTTCGAATTGTCTAAAAAAAGGCACGTTTTCCTTCTGGACTTTTATACGGAATACGCCAAGCCAAAAGGTCTACCCTTAAACATACACATATTTCAATTGGCAGAAATTAGACATCCAGTTTTGACCTGAGGGTACAGAAATATTATACATAGAGAACAACAAAATTAATACATAAAAATTTGTTATATACTTTATTTGTAATGCTATATATACGTATAAAATGCTATATATGCTGTTATATACGTATAAAAATGCTATTTACGGGATTATTATTACAATAAAACAATGAATAGTTTCTAAAAGTGGATTTGAGGATGTGAGTACACCAATTTGTTAGTAAAAAGTTCTACTCACAAACTGTGTCTTTTACATTTATAGTTGAAATATTAGCCTTATACTGAAAGAAAAAAGTTCAAAAATTGTTTAATTTCGGTTTAATTTATAAGTCTATTGGCGTGGTTCTCAGTGGAGATTACGCACAGTTTTAAAATTGGTGGTCAGTAAAACCCTACACTGGTACATTGTTGTTTACATTGAAACCATATGTTAATTACAATGTTATATATATGTTATATGTTATATTAATTACAACATACTTACTTTACTGTAAACCAAATTAAATGAGATCAGAATTTTATAAGTTTTAATCAAAAATATTTAATTATGATGGTTTGAAAGAAAATTTCACCAAAACACTAGAAAATCATTTAGTCATAAATTAAACTGTTAGTTAAATTTTAGTCTATCACTAAATAATTTTCGATGTTTTGGTAATTTTCTTTCAAACCATCATAAATATTTTTTATTAAAACTCATGAATTTCTGAGCGCATTTATCGGGTTGTCCGGAAAATAATGCAGGATTTTAAGTTTTCATTAAAAAAAATCTATATAAAATATTCTGTTTACGTTTACAGGATTACTCATTTGTATGAATGTCAACANGGAAATTATTTTGATTAAAGAACATTGCTTTAAAGTAACTAGTTTCTTTTTTTTTGTTTAATACCAAAATCCTGCATTATTTTCCGGACAACCCAATAGTTGGCTTACATTAAAACAAGAATGTTGTAGTTAATATAACGATAAAAATAGATACAATTTGAATGTAAACAACAAAATACCAGTGTTCTTTTTTGTTGTTCTTGTCGTTGAGTACATTATTTATACATTTATCTGTTGGTTTAATTAACCATATTTTGATAACAAATTTCTCAACCCAATCTATACCTTGTACTGTACACAAGTTTTGTTTGTATCTATATCGAAGTCGTGATTCATATCTTTTATGTCTTTGAAATCAAAAATCTTTTTGAACTATTGAATGTTGAATCTATTCGGTCAGAATATGGTATTATGCTATTGTACACCAGTTTATTAAAATTCTATATCATTTGCTTTAACACTATTGATTAATTTTTGTGTTTTCAAAAGGCAAGAACGTAAGTGGGGAAATGATGCCTTACTTCATAATATCCATACTTTTTAAGCAATGCGTACGTATGCAAAATCATAGTTAAATTTTTTTTAATTATTATATTAAATAATGAATTGTTTGGTTAGAAGAATATGAATTTTTTATTTCTAAATATCAGTTTTTAAAGTTATACATAATTTAATTAAAATGATGATAGTGATTTAAGAATATGCAATTTTTGTGAAGGGTTGTATGGGGGGGGGGTATAATTCCTTCATGACATCCATACTTTTTCAGTAATGCCATTATGAAATAATAAATCAAAATCCTACTTATATAGTATTAATGTTTAAATAGTAAATTATTCGGTTAAAAAATATGATTTTATATCATTATATAACAGTTTTATCAAACTGTTATGTTATATACTTTAATACTATGTTTCGATTAATTTTTGTGTAGAGGTTTATGCACGTTGATGCCTTGTTTCATAATATTCATACTTTTTAAATAATACGTACTTCTATGTACGTGTGCAAAATCATATTATTATATTAAATAATAAATTGTTTGGTTAGAAGAAATATGATTTTTTATACCTAAATATCAGTTTTATTAAAATGACACAAATTTGCTTTAACCCTTTGATTTATTTTTGCGTATTTTCACTTGAAAAGAACGTAACGGGGAAAGTGATGATAATTAGTATAAGAATATGCAGTTTTTGTGAAGGGTTGTATGGAGGGAGGATAATTCCTTCATGATATCCATACTTTTTCAGGAATGACTTAATAAAATAATAAATAAAAATCCTACATATGTAGTATTATTAAATACTATTTTTTGTTTAAAAATATGATTTTATATCTTTACATACGAGTTTAATTAAAATTATACATTATATACTTTAATACCATGATTTGATTAATTTTTGTGGGGGTTCATGCAGGTTGATGCATTGCTTTATAACATCCATACTTTTTAAGCAATGCGTACTTCTATGTGCGTGTGCAAAATCATAGTTATAATTTTATTAAATAATAAATTGTTTGGTAGAAGAAATATGATTTTATAGACCTAAATATCAGTTTTATTAAAATTACACAAATTTACATTAACCCTTTGATTTATTTTTGCGTATTTTCATTAGACAATAACGTAAGGGGAAAAATGATGATAATTAGTATAAGAATATGCAGTTTTTGTGAAGGGTTGTATGCAGGGAGGATAATTCCTTCATGATATCCATACTTTTTCAGGAAAGCCTTAATAAAATAATAAATAAAAATCCTACTTATATAGTATTATTGCTATTAAATAATAAATTATTTGATTAAAAAATATGATTTTATATCATTATATACGAGTTTAATTATAATTATACTGACTTTAATACTATTACTTCATTAATTTTTGTGTAGGGGTTTATGCAGGATGATGCCTTTTATATACCTCCTTATATCTATATAAGGATTATACCTTATATAGATAAGCATAAAAAATCCTACTTATATCATTTTACACCAGTTGTATTAAAATTATATTTAATTGGGTTCAAAACTATAATCTGACATGATCATCATCGAACGTATTAATTAATATAAGTATATGTAGTTTTTGTGAAGGGTTTTTGTGCAAGATGATACCTCGCTCCATGCTATTCCAGGCGAAAATAAGTGGATGCAAGTGAAAGGAAAAGCTTGATTTATGACGTACGGTATGACAAGGTAAGGGTGTGCATAATAGATGTGTGCATTAGTCATAGATTATGATTTTAAAATCTTACCTCTGCTACGGATTTCTTCGTAAATTCGTTTAGGGAGAGAATCCAAATGGTAAGGAGTTCATTCACTACAACTAAATCGGAATATAACCAATTAAACAAATCATTCACCCACTTGACACTTTCGGATTCCGGTCCTGTTGCGGTCGGGGGTGGATGGACGGCGGTGCTCTGTTTCGGTTTCACAGGACCTCCGGTCGGTCGTCCGGATTTCGAACCGAGCCTTTTCCGGGTCGGGGGAGTCGGAGGAACGTATTTACCTGTACCCGCAGAGACTGCAGGGGCGGAGAGAGGTTTGGAAACGGCTTTGAGTACGACCTCCTTCGCCGGTTCCTGGGCGTCAATCTTGTTGGTTATGGCCGGTGTCTCGGCAGGCTCGGTTTTGTCCACGGCCACTTTCTCCCCTGTGACGAATTTTCTGTAGGCGAAACGTCCGACACCGACGACCACCAGGCCCAACAACATCCATCCGAACATGTACATCGCCACGGTATCCATGGTCGAATCGCCGCCGCCTTCGAATGTGCAGATGAGATCGTCTATCTTATCCGCCAAGTCTTCCATACTCCTCCATGCTTTCGACACCCAGTTCCAAATCGGCTGGGGAATGAGATCAACCATCGCTATAAATAAACTGTGGGAGAAGTTCTCGGCTCTTAAAATAGCATTGCAGCCCTGACTGGTATCGAGTTTCTTCACTCGTGTGCCAGGAACCGGCCAGTCACCACGACTAGCCACAACATTACTACCGACGTATGGCAACACGAGTGAGACCTTCTCTATCCCCCCTATAACGACATCTGCCGATGGTGAAACCTTCTAGTTGCCTCCCTCTTCTCCCAATAGATAGCAGGAGAACGACCACTTGCGAGCCTGCTTTTCAACCTTCCTTCAATAGAAAGCGCTTCAATCCTCGATCCGCTCTGGTTTCGTTAGTTCACGTATCGATCTAAAGAGAGTGCGACCATTCAATTTCAATTTTTTAATTTTGTTGATTTTAAACTGTTCAAATATGAATAGGGATATATTTAAAAAAAATTAATTTTAATTAAATTAACCGATATATTCTTGTTAGTTGGATAAAGCAAAATTGAAAATACAAACCAAAACCAAACAAACGTTAATCCTCATTTTTAATAACGGATTTACTTAACAATAGTAAATAGGAAGATTACTCAGTTTGTAAACAAACACTTTTTCTTGTCTTTTCTCCATTTTGATCCAATTGAATTCTCTTTAACCATGGAAAGACTTCACCTTGAGCCAGAAGTTCTCAATATTAATGTGAGAATGAGTCGTCGAGGTTACCGGCAAAAAGATATCGCAGAGGCTGTTGCGTTTCTCAGAGCGTAGTCACCCGGGCTTTAGCCCGCTACGAGAGACTGGAAGTGCCAATAGGAGGCATCTCAGAGCATTCGGCGCCAAGGGAGGAAAGAATTATCGTCATTGCTGCAAAACGTTTATGGGAAGTTGTCCTCACATCGTTTGCCTCTTTGACACGATCTGCAACAACAGTCCGCCACCAGCAATTCAGGAGAATATGGTGCAGCGAGCGCCTAGATGAGAACACCAATTGGTATGCAGTTAGGTTTACTGATGAGTCGCGTTTCTGTCTAGGCCGAAAAGTCTACCGAGAAGAGAGGACGCGTACAATGCCAGTCCATGCTCCCTTCAGTGCAGTTTGGAGGAGCCGGAGTAATGGTCTTGACTGGGATTTACAGTGTCGGACAAACAGATTTGTTTTGTTGAAGGTAACCTCACCGCAATCCGTTATTTCCAAGTTATTATGGAGGAACTCGTACCTCAAACCAGGGATTTCATTGGCGGGGATTTCCGATTTCTGGATGGCAATGACCTCATAGACTTCACAAAGGCAGAGTCGTTCATCAATGCTTCAGATCCTGGGAATTTCCTCAATCCCATTGAGTGCATGTGGGATGAGTTGAAGAGAAGGCTTATCGATCTCCATCTGCAGCCAGTTGACCTGTATCAACTGAGTGCAGCGTTGCAACATCTATGGAGTGAAATTCCTTGTGAAATTAGTGAGAACCTTATTAACAGTATGCTGAATAGGTGCACAGAGGTTTTGGCTAACTGAGAACAATCATTATACAATGTATTAATTGTTTAAAAAAATATTGTAAAAAAATAAACCAAATTATGCAATTAAAACCTTTTATTTTATTATTTTTCAAATTCCTTTCATTAAATTTTTCTTCAGTAAAAAACATAATAATTTCTAATAAATATTAATGCAGTTTATAATAGATATAAAATAAAACTGCTAGGGAAAGTAAATACAACACAATTGGCAATACCCCTTTAATTTTTGAGCAATTTATGTACAGTGGATCAAAAAATTATTCATGCACTTGGTTTTTTTTTTGGTAATTAATTCTTTAGTTTTATTGTGAAATTAAAACCTTATTTTGGCCATAAACTAGAAGATTCAACAATACGTTTCATGTACTGGGTTGCTGCAAAAATAATGCAGGTTTTGAAAAGACAAATAGTTTTAATTTTTATAAAATAAAGAAAATTTATTCGAAATATTTTCCATCACAATCTATGCATCTTTGTCAAGCTCTTTATCCGCTGACATAAAACTCTTTATTTCGGCTCACAATAAAGACTTGGAAGGCGTTTTCGGCTTCACTGCGTTCTCTAAAAATTTTAATCCTCAAGAAATGATCAAAATGTGTAGAAAAGTGGGAGTCTAAAGGCGAGAGGTCGGGGGTTTATGAAGGGTGCGGTAAGTCCTTATGTTCCGCAGGTTGGCATTGCGACGTCTGGTCTGATGTTATCGTGAAGAAGAATCGGCCTATTACGGTTTCCCAATGCTGGACAAAGACGGTGTGGTTTCCTGTGCATTTTGTCAATCTGTTGGCAATATTTCTCTGCTGTGATAATTTCACCATAATTTAGGAAATTATAGGGAACAACTCTACACTACCTAACAGTCACCGTATGCTTTTTGGGTGCAAATTGGTTTTCGTGAAGTGTTTTGTCCCTTCATCCTTGTCGAACCACTGACCTGTGTGACATAATCCATTTCTCATTTCGTGTGATGATTCAATCGAGAAATGAATCATTTTGGTGGCACAACAGAAGAGACGTGCAAATTTCAAAGCGTCGATTTCTTTGGGCTTCTGTCAGTCGTGCGTTAACCCACTTGTCGAGCTTTTCTTCACCAATTTGCCCGAGATTGCGGACAACGGTTGTGTGGTCAACACTAACCTCTTCCGCAATTTCCTCTGTTGTCTTACGTGAATTTTCTTCAACCAACGTTTTGAGTTGGTTGTCGTCCACAACGGAAAGCCAACTGCCACCTTCCCTGACTCCGAGATCGAAATCTCCAAGACGAAATCTGTGAAACTATCGCTGCACCGTGGAGCTAATGCTTCCCAAACTGTCTTGATGTGCGAGGTTTGGGATACACTTCGCCCAATTTTAAATTCATTCAAATAAATTTGACGAAAATCTAGTTTGGACATATTTAATTTCGCAGGTCCTAACTCTTATTAAATTCAATATAAACTAAAATATTTTGTATTAAAGATAACGGTTAAAAGGATTTATTATAATTCATAAATTGGATTTCAGGATTTAGCTTACATGACAACCACCCGCGAAATTAAAACAAATTTTTAAAATCTGCATTTATTTTGCACCAACCTAATATTTATTTATTTTTAAATAATTAGGCTATATATTTTGCCCCCAAATACAGTACCCCTGGGGATTTTATTTTCACCTGTATCTATAAATAATTATGGATTATTCAGAAATCGTGAGATGCTGTCTAGTCCTATTTCTGAATAATCATCGACTAACGTCACTAATCACCAGACAAAATAATTACAGATTTTCACTTTAATTTTATAATATTTTCTAATATTTATGTATTACAGTTTTATAGAAATGATTTGAGGTAGGGTGAGAATGGCAATTCACTTTTGGAAGAGATAGTTCTACTCACAGAAATTTCAAGTCGCTATCCGGATGTCGACCAGTAAGTTGAAAAAGTACTCATTATCAGGAAGGAGAAGTAAGAGTAAGAAAGGTTTGTAAATCCTCTGCCACCACGACGTTCCAATGAGAAGCTGTTTACTGTTTCTCATTAGTTATAACCTTGAAACACATGTACAGCAAAGATAGATAACGTATTATATAAAAAAAGCATGTACTATGTACAGCACATTTGTTTTATTTATCTCTAAAAAACGTTTAATTAAATCCCACCTTCCTAGCATCTTCTTGTAAGTTGGCTATTACATATAAAAAGAAGTTTGGATAAAAAAATGTTATTAATCAAATAGATATGCACAATTAAATGTTCGAATAAACTTATATCTAAGGATCGTAATTGTTGTAAAACAATAATCTTAGTGGGGGTCGGTGACCGCAACGGTTTAGGCGTTGACTCGGCGTTCATCACTGTATCACTGTAAGGTAGGTCCCGGGTTCGAATCCAGCGGCAATATTTGGCATTTGGTATATACATTTTTTAACTTAAATATGACCGCAAATACCGCTTAATTCGGTAGTTGGTAAATTTTGTGAATGGCCTTTCTGAATCTCGTACTTCAGAATTTTAGCAAGTGGGTTCTTTTACGACCTTGAGGACTTACCTGCCTCCTTACTCCCCGTTAATATTCTTCCCTTTTTCTTACGTCCTTCCATACGACATTCCGATCATCTAGCGCCTGTTCTAGATGAGAATTTGAAGTTAAGTAATCGCCAGCAGAAGTGTTTATACCAGTAGTAACAAGACAAAGTAAGTTGCTTTCTCTTTTAAATAATAATAAAACTGCAAATAATAAAATACAGTCCATTAAATTATAATTTGCCAGCGAGACGCTAGAGCCGAGAGTGGAGTTTGCAATAATCTCACAGGGTGACATTTACAAGGGGAAACCATTGCAATTAATTTCCTTAGAAACGTCGAGGCATCCTTCAATAACTACACCCTCCTTTGCGCCCACAGAACAAGACGATTCATCCATCAATAATTAAAATTCAAGACTAGCAATGTTTGATTTCCTCGGATGCAAATCTCCATTTTATGCCTCATAACTGAGTCTGTTGCAGGAGAAAAGTAAATGATTTCTGCCTTCGTCGAAGCAAACGCTTTTGTCTAATTGAACATTTCAATCTCGACCTTTTGGTGCAAAGTTTATAGTTCTTCACATCCTCCCCATTTACATAAAAGAAAATTCATGTTCCATTTTGATGGTCCATATTTGTCAATGTATAACGAAAGTCTCTATAGTGTTTTAATTTAATTTTTGAAAAGTTATAAATTTAGAATGTAACCTAGGAAAAGTTCCTCGTGCGTTTCCGAGGATAAAAAGGTGCTAGCTTCTTAGTTTGAAATGGTTGAATGTTAAAAATGAGATGCATGTTAATGTAAGATAAGAATGAGACCGTTCAAAAAATCTGTTTCTAATATTTGCAAATAGGTCGAAAAGTACTGGATAATTATAACTTCTTGATTTATAATCTTATATATTTGGCAATTATCAAAGCAAAAAGGAACGACTGTTTCATTTTTGCAAATAAATATATTACATATGTAGGAGGGAGAGAAACCTCCAAAAGTAATAAAAGTAAAATGGAGAGATAGCAACAAAATAAAGAAAGACCATCCGACACTCATGGTTCCAAGAGATGACATGAACAGAATGTTTGAATTTAATCAAAACTTCCAAATAAATGTAGGTACCTAAAAAGAATGGGAACGAGTGGAAAACACCTCCTTTAA